TGCTGTTCTTTGTTTTATTATATGATTAGAAATTTAAAATATAATTGGATTTCCCTGCTATATTTTAGTGCAAATGATACCTCCAGAATAATTTTGGGATTTTTCTTTTCACTGCTGTTTTTACGCCACAGTCTTTAACTCTGCCTTATTTACTATCCATTCCACAGTGGCCTAATTCTTCCCTTTGTCTTGTCTGTTTCTGATGCTGTGCCATGCCTTGCATTTAAAGTTCATGAAGTTTTCTCCATTTATTCTTTGTCAGTAAAAATAATCTAATATCACCTGTTCTTTTTATTCCATTTAGATTTATTCACTTCAACAATAATTATTTGAGTCATCTTGGGGCCATATGTTATAGACTCAGAGCTCTTAGGTTGGAACCTCTTTTGAATCAATATCTTTATTCTTTTGGCTTTTTTCATGTAGGCATCTTTTTTGTTCCATTTATTTGCACACATGTTCTTTGGTAATATATTTAGTGCACGTGAGCCCTTGAACACACAAGGAAATCCTGAGAGATTTGTACCAGAAAACTCTAGCTTAAGACGGAGTTTTATTTTGTAGATTTTTCATATTAATGGGATATTCATTCCCAATACACTTCCACCATAATATTATCTGTGTAACTTGGCTAATCCTTTTTGTCTTTTGCACACTGTTTCTTCACTGAGTTTAGTACAGCAGAATGCTTTATTCTGAAGCTGACTGAACAGGTGAAATTCAGTGAGTCCCTGGGAACCGTAAAGCCATTGTCTTTTCATTATCTGAGCCTTTTCCTGCCAGTGAAACCACTCACGTGGCTTGCTGTTCACAATATAAACTCACACCAATTTAATAGGACACACAGGTATGTTTTATACTTCAATGTTCTGTAATAGATTTTAGGGTATATTTTCACTCTCTATGTTGTTTATGCAGCAGAAAATGACTTGGACTGTATGTAGACAAAAATTCCACATTCTTGGTTGATTCCTAGTCTGTTGCACATGCAAAGTTGATTTCATTTTTTTGATGTGAGCTTACCTGATTGGTAGAAAGACATTTACTTACTGGTCTAGTACAAAGAGGCAGGTATTAATAAATCTGAGATAAAGAAGATAGTGCCTTACTCCTTTACTAAGTAAAGAAAATAGCGTTATTTAATTGTAATTTATTGAATTGATGTTTTGAATTACAATTTTGAAGAAGTTAGTTGCATAGGTTATTAAAAGTGAGATGTGATGATTTGTTGGAAACATACGTATAGACTGCTAAACAGCATGCCCTGTGTTAGCCACTTACTCAAATAGGAGTTAGAGCTCCTAATTGAAAATGCATAAAAATATTTAGTCTTTGCTGCTAATGTGGACAGATCTATCCAAATAATCAGTTTTGCCTACATTTCCTTAAAATTTTGTTCTGTTTGATGGGATAGTTTTCATTTTAGAGGAATTTTTGACCTTTTACATTCCAACCTCCAGGCATCACTTTGTAGTTTTGGATTTTCTTAGGGGTCTTATTGAGAAGGGCCTTTTATTTCCTCCCAGGCACTATTCCTGCAATTCAGATTGCTGTCATTAGGGGATTTCTTCACATCCATAAAGCATTCCCTCATATCTCAGGATATAACCAAATTGTTCAAAACACTGGAATCTTTACTTACTGTGACTGTGTTTCTGGCATGCATGTCCTTGTCACATTTTACATTTATACTTCAATGATCAGCAATTATTTTCCAGTTTGGACATGAAATCCACACTTTGTACTGGCTTCTTAGCCATTTTGAATTTCCATTTTATATGACAATGAAGTATTATCTATCTTTTCACAAACAACAAAAGGACAATGACATTTAGTACCCTTATAGTGCCCAAATTTCGCGTTTTATTCTGTACAACAATCCCTAATTCAATATGTTCGCTATTTTTTTTTTCTTGTTTAGTTTCTCTGGCTAGAACCTTTAGTGTAATGTTCAATTGAAGTAGCAAGACAGACATCCTTATCTTCTTGTTTCTGATCTTAAGGGGAAAACATTTAGTCTTTCACCATTAATGATGTTAAATGTGGGTTTTTCATAGATATCCTTTATCAAATTGAGGATATTCCCTTCTGTTCCTAGGGCTTTTATAGTCTAGGGTATTGTATTTCATCAAAGGCCTTTTTGCCATCTATTGAAATGAACATGTGGTTTTTATCCTTCCTTCTATTAATGTGGTGCATTACATTGATTGGCTTTCAGATATTAAATAAATCTTGTATTCCTGGGATAAATCCCATTTGGTCATTATATCTAATTCTTCTTAGATGTTTCTGGATTTAGCTTGCTAATATTTTATTGAAGACTTTTGCATCTATATTTATAAGGAATATTGGTCTGTAGTTTTCTTGTGATGTCTTTGTCTGGTATTGGTATCAGAATAACACTGGCCTTATTGAATGATTTGGAAATTGTTTTGTTCTCTTCTATTTTAAAAGAATTTGTGAAGGACTGTTGTTAATCTTCTTTACATGTTTGGTAGAATTCACCTGTGAAGCCATCTGAGCCTGGACTTTTCTTTATGGGAAATTTTAAAATACTAATTCAATCTCTTTGCTTGCAGTGGGTCCATTCAGATTGTTTATTTCTTCTTGCGTTAGTTTCAGTAGCTTGTGTCTTTCTAGGAATCTGTCCATGTCATCTAAGTTGTCTAATTTTTTGGCATACAGCTGTTCGGAGTATTCCCTTATAATTCTTTTTTATTTCTGTAAGGTTGTACTTATGTCTCTTTTTTTGTTCTTGATTTTAGTAATTTGAGTGTCCTCTTTTTCTTTCTTGGCAAATGTAGCTAAAAGATTGTCAATTTTGTTGATCTTTTCAAAGAACCAACTTTGGTTTCATTGATTTTCTCTCTTTTTAAAAAACTCTCTATTTCATTTACTTCTACTCTGGTCTTAATTATTTCCTTCCATATACTTGCTTCAGTTTAGTTTGCTCTTC